AACCGTTTGTTTTCGTTTTCTGAGCATGCACACATCACATGCATACTACAAACAAAAATTCCAAACATACAGAGAACACACTATCCCTTTCTATAACAAAAAGCAGAAGTTCCCAGCAATGCAAGGTGGGTGGTAACCACCACCAGGCCAGAGCAGCGGCGGACCCAAGACCCGGCCACCCTGGCAGGGCCGAGCACAAGCACGTGCAGCCGGTTCGGTCGAACAGGGCCCCCAAATAGGAGGGGCCCACCAACCAGTCAGGTGTAGTATAGGTATAGATGTATATGTACTGTATAGGCCTGTAGGTGTATAGTATGCCCAATCAATGGCACATGGCAGGCAGCAGACGGCCAGGCCCAAGGCCCCAAGTCCCCAAGCGGCCAGCGGCATGCCCTGCCCCTCTGGCCCTCTCGCTGTCTCGCATCGCAGGCACAGGTACCGCGACGGTACAGCACTGCAGGCCGTATCATCAATTCATCAGTTCATCACGCCAGCCGCCAGGCGCCGCATCGACGTCCAGGACGCATCCGTAGACCGCAGGGCGCCGCGCCGGCCAGGCAGGACGGCAGGACTCCATCGCACTTCGCGCACATCGCAGTCTCGTAGATCCCGTCTCGACCATGATCGGTGATCCGTCAGTCCGTCTCGTGTCTCGCGCCTCGCGGCAGATCGGTATACTAATATGATTTCTGATGCAATTAATTTTCAATATTTTAATCAACATTGATGGATGATGACTAATATAATATTGATCCATCTAGGTGTTTAGTTATATTTGTTCTGGTTCTAGATTATCTAGTGTTTCGATACAAGATTGTAGTCATGTCTTCTGCAAATCGGTCTAGAAAGTATGAATCTGGTTACCAAAAGCGTAAGAAAAAACAAAGAATAGAGGATTTAACTCAATCTCAAAAGGGGGCTATGGATAAATTTGTTAGAAAAGAGTCACAAGTGTCCACCGATAATGATGACATGACATTGATCCTAGAGATGGTCAGATGGAGACAGAAAATATTGTTGGGGTCGAGGAAGTTCTTATTGATAACACAAACATTGAAATGGATAACAATGCTGATAACATTGGGGCCAATAGTACTTCACCAATTGCGGATGTTAATGATTCCTTTTAGCCTGATATATTTGATCCTAGATATTGGGATTCCCTTGATCATAAACAAATTGATATTTTTGCAGAGAAGGGCTCTAGAAGAGATTTACCAATTCAGAAAGGTCCTAAGGATAGATATGCTAGAAGGTTTTCTGCACTATTCTATACAAGAATTTTATCAAATGGAGAGCATTGTGATAGGGATTGGCTTGTCTATTCCAAGGAACTCGATAGGGTCTTTTGCTTTGGTTGTAAATTATTTACAAAAGGCCATCGAAAAGGTCAGTTGGCAAATGAGGGGTTTAATGATTGGATACATCTTGGTAGTAGACTTAAAGAGCATGAAACAAGTCCAAATCATGTTTTGAGTATGGCAACTTGGTATGAGTTGCGTAGTAGATTGCAAAAGGATCAAACTATTGATAAAGCTGCTCAACGACAACTCAAGAAAGAAAAGGACCATTGGAGAAAAGTTTTGTTCAAAATTGTTTGCATTGTTAAATTTATTGTTAAGCATAATCTTGCTTTTCGTGGGACTAATAGCAAACTGTATGAAGATAGCAATGGGAATTTCTTGGGATTGGTAGAGATGTTGGCTGAATTTGACCCAATTATTCAAGAACATGTTCGTCGTATTACAAGTGAGGAAACTCAAGCTCATTATCTTGATTTTAAGATTCAGAATGAGTTGATACACTTGCTTGCTTCTGCTATTAAGTCTGAAATTATTAAGAAAATAAAGAGTGCAAAGTACTTCTCTGTCATACTTGATTGTACTCCTGATGCAAGCCACCAAGAACAAATGTCTTTAATTATAAGATATGTTGACTCATCTTCAAGTGATGTTCGCATAGAAGAATCCTTTATAGGATTTTTGGATGTCAACGATACAACTGGGCAAGGACTTTTTGATGTGCTGGAGAATGAACTAAAGCTCCTTGGTCTTGATATAGATGACGTGAGAGGACAAGGTTATGACAATGGGTCAAATATGAAAGGAAAACATAAAGGGGTAAAAAGAAACTTTTGGATGTAAATCCTCGTGCTTTCTATTCTGCTTGTGGTTGCCATAGCCTTAATTTAACATTTTGTGATATGGCTAAGACTTGTGGTAAAGCTAAGGACTTCTTTGGAATCATCCAGCGCATCTATACAACTTTTGCTAATTCTACTAAGAAATGACAGATTCTAAAAGATAACATATTAGGATTGACTCTCAAGTCGATCGCCTACTACGTTGGGAGAGTCGTGTTGAAAGTGTTAAAGCTATAAGATTTCAAAGGCACACACATTCGAGAGGCTCTACTTGGTACCCAATATTGTTGTATTGATATTTGATAATGATGTACTTATTTTGGCTATCTCCAACTATAACACATATTTTCTTCCTTTCAATTTCAGGTATCTCGATGTTGATAATGATCCAAAACAAGCAAAGGAGGCTAAGGGCTTAGCAAACAATGAACTTGGAGAGTATGAATTTATATTGGCAACAGTCATTTGGTATGAGGTATTATATGTCGTTAATTTAGTAAGCAAACACTTGCAAGCAAAGGATATGCTTATTGATGTTGCTATTGAGAAAGTGGAATGGTTGATTTCTTTCTTCAAGGATTATAGGGAAACTGGTTTCTTAGAAGCATTAGAGATTGCCAAAGGAATTGCACTTGAGATGGATATTGGTACAACGTTTCATAAAAGAAGAGAAATTAAAAGAAAGAGACATTTTGATGACAACTTAGATGACACAAATGCTGGTACACAGTTTGCAGAGGAGCTATTTAGGGCCCCTTTGGCACGGCTCATCCAAAACGGCTTCACCAGTGAAGCCAAAGCCGGTGAAGCCAGAAAAATTGGCTTTTCCCGGATTCTAGTTCATTTTAACCCCGGCTTACAAAACGGCTTCACGCTACAGTGACTCGATTTGCGCAAAATAGATGAAACCGAAGCCGGCATAAGCCGTGCCAAAGAGGCCCTTAGAACCAGCTATTTTTTACCTATTGTTGATCAAGCATTTTCCTCACTTACAACAAGATTTGAACAATACCAGAGTTACCAACAAAATTTTTGTTTCTTATTTACCTCTGAAACATTATAGTCATTGGATGGCACGAGTTTGAAATCTTCTTGTGATAATCTTGGGGCTGTCCTTACAAAAGACAGAAAATCTGATGTTGATGCCAATGAATTGTATGTGGAGTTGAAGTTTCTTCAAGATTTTATTCCTAAAGAAAATATGGGTCCTGTTGAAATTCTAAAGTTCCTAAAGCGGCATGACTGTTTTCCCAATGCAAGTATTGCATATAGAGTTCTGTTGACCATTCCTGTGACCATTGCATCGACAGAGCGAAGCTTTTCTAAATTGAAACTATTGAAGTCATATTTGCGTTCGACAATGACACAATAAAGACTTAATGATTTGGCTACAATAGCACTTGAGAGTGGATTGCTGGAGAAGATTGATTATGAGCATATCATTGAAGATTTCATTTCAAGGAACACTAAAAAAAATGAAGTACTTCAATTAAAGATTATGAAAGCAAAAGTCGAATAGGTACGGTTTTTTATATATCTTAGTGTGATATGTATCATATATCTTATTTACAGTCATATTTTTTAGGGAGGTAGGCCTCATTTTAGAGTTTGGTACAGGCCTCGATTTTTGCCGGCTTGGCCCTGCACCCTGGGCTGATGGACGGCCTCCTCTGCTGGCTGCTACTGAGTACTGACCACACCTTATTAGCCCCAAATGCACAAAAGGCTTAGTGACAGTTAGCTACGTACACATATTAGGCAGGGAGCAGGCTTCTCCGATCCTACAACTTAGTGATTATGTTAATTTAGAATAAAAACTATTGCGGCTGTCTAATTTTACCTGTACATTATATATATAATTATCTCTGCACTATTTTGCCTAACCTTGCTATTATTAAGGCCCCGTTTGTTTCGGCTCCCAGAGGCTTTGGCTCCTGCATGTGTTCATTTTTGCACTGTGAAATACTGTATGATACTGTAGGTGGCGAAGAGGGGCTCTGGCTCCTCCAGAATACAATGTAAACAGGCAAGGAGCCGCCAAAGCTAGGGTCCAGGGCTCCGCCGGCTCTGATACAGTGACGCTGCAATAACACAACGGTGCTGGAGCCGGAGCTCCTCCAAATACTGTCTTAGTATGGCGTTGTGTCTCGCCCAGGCTCTGCAAAATTCCCACTGTACCAGAGCCATCTATGTTTAAGTTTGATGTACTCCGTATTAGCAAATTATATTTCAGTATAGAGTTAAAAGCATGGATGGTTCATCAACTTGTGCTCTAGTTTCACTTAGATCCATCAACTCTGAAAGTGGGTTTTTGGATCCATAATCTTTGTTAGTGGCGTATTCCTAGCCCATACCCCATTTGTTTCAATTTTTAACCCACGTGGCACCTCCGGGTCCAGGTGGCACACGCATGCAGGTGCATGCACATGCACGTCGGCGTCTTGGCGAACGGCCAGCAGCAGCAGCCGGCGCAGCGGTAGCCCAGTCCGGCAGCCCACGCTGGCACGTCGACGTCTTGGCGAATGGCCAGCAGCAGCAGCAGCAGCAGCAGCCGGCATGCGCGCGCACGCCGCAACGGCACGAAACGGCGAGACGCGCAAGCCGTGCGGGCGCTGCAGGTCCACGGCGGCGGCGCGCCGCATGATCGGCGTAGCCTGCGGGAAGTAGTAGACGGCGGCGCCGACGGGTAACACGGCGCACAGAGAGCTCGCGCGATGCCTGCCAGCTGCGGGTGCACGTGCGCCCCTCGAGCTTGGCACGGCCAGCGGCGGCCTCCGGCGATGGGCTGGGGGGCATTCTGCGCCCGCGAACGTGAGCGTCGTTGTCCCGAGCAGCGTGGGCGCACAGTGCTGCAAGAATGCATATGACCCGGGTCATCGGCGGTGTGCAGGGCTTCTACGCCGCCAGCTCGCAGGGGCGGCACCAAGAAGACCATCGTGCTCACAGCCATGTTCGAGGGCCCCGAGACACCGCATGGCGGCGACACGCCAGCTTCTTCGGGGTCCACCGCATGGCGCGCACCGAGTCCCACATCGCCATCATCGGAGGCACCGCCACCGGCAAGTACGAGCACGCCAAGGGCTTCGCCGCCATCTAGACGCTGCACCCTGGCCACATCACCATCATCGGAGGTGCCACGTGGGTTAAAAAATTGAAACAAATAGGGTATGGGCTAGGAATGCGTCACTAACAAAGATTATGGACTCAAAAACCCACTTTCAGAGTTGATGGACCTTAGTGAAACTAGAGCACAAGTTATGGACCACTCATGCATTTAACTCTTCAGTATAAGCCAGAGGAGCACTAAATAAATCATGAAAAGGGCCATGACCAGAATTGGCATATCTAGCCGCCGTACCACTCAAAACTACACATCCAACAATCTAATGTAACAGCACAATTTGTGCTTCTAAGTTCTTCGCATGCAAGAGAAAGGCCGGTCGACTTCAGTTCAGATGCGACCAAAGCTGTGCTGGCCGGTCCCACAATTTATGCTGTAACGAGCTGAGCAATTCGGCCCCCTCTTGCTATTTGGCCACGCTCCGCCGCTGCACAATTCCTCCATTCTGCTCCATCGTGTAGGGGGATTGGGGCTTTGTAAAAATATTGTCATAGTTGAACGTATGTGTTGCACTATCATATCTACTACCACAAAATCGAATAGCTTTGAGGGCTAAAAAACCTCAGGGAAGTCCTGGCGAGCAACCCTCAAATAAGGACCGCAAAGAGTAGGGAGCAAGAGAAATTCATTTACTTTGGAGGCCGGCCGCCATAAAAGATTTTCTTGAGAGGTATGTTGGTGTTGGCCCCGTTTGGTAGCGATTCTGGAGCTGCTCCACGTACGTGTAGCTCATCCGTGACAACGGGGTCGAGAGCCTCCGCTAGCTCCTCGTAGCTCTGCCCACGATTCGTGCTCTCTGTAATTGGGAGAGTCCGTGGGAGCTAAAAAAGGAGAGCTTCCCTCGACTCCTTCATCTAGCTGCATAGGGGCCGGGCCTCCCTGAAATGCCACGGCTCTATGTGAGTGCAAGGTAGACGACAATGGAGATGCGAGTGCTGCGGAGTCGGGGCGGATGACGCATGGGGCTCGAAGCTTGCCGGCGGATGAGAAGCAAGCATTGTTCGAATGGCTTAGCATTTGGAGACTCGGGATTTATATTCGTTTGAGCAAGTGCCCTACGTCCAGTGCGATCGAGATGATTGTGTTCCTAAGCTTGCTCAAAGTTCGGAGTGTGTGAATGTTTATACGGTTTTCTCTGGCCTCCACTCATAAAGCTAGGAGAGTTTACGTACAAAAGATGGAAGGGTTCCATATAACGCTAGCTAATCCTCATAGAGTCTTCGGTCGTCCTCACCGTCGTGCTTGTGGTGGAGGATGCGCAGGGGTTTGTTTTCCCACGCTTGGCGTCCGTCACCGAATAGTAGGGACAATGTCCTCATAATGACAGGTGAGGCCTGTGTCCACATCTCTGTGTTGTATGGGGATACAAGTATTAGGGATGTGTCATGCCCTTTGTCGCATAAGAGCGGCAGACCATTCGGATGACTATTTTTATACGGTATGCTTTGACCATTCGGATGGAAGAAAACACAGTCGAGTCCTCCTTGCATCATTCAGACAGGGTTCTCAAGAGAGTCCCCGAGTGGTGCGGTCCGAGTGCCCCAAGTCAGGAGATCTCCCCAACTGGGGTCCAAAGTCAGAAACCAGTCGGGTGCAGTCCTAGCCAGTTGGTGGGCCCTGCAGCCCGAGTTGTCCCTGTCGAGCCTCATATGGGAGCCAATTGGGGCCCGAGTTCCTACAAAGATTATACGTAGAATTCGGGACTCGGTCAAGGTCAATGGTCACAGCTGTAGTCGTAATATCCGGGTGATGAGATGGTATAGGTAATCATCACATAGTGTTCTGCGAAGGTGTTATTAATTTATGGTTTCCATTTTATATTGTTTAACAAAATTATATGTACTTCACAAATTTTTAGGTAATCGATGATGCAATCCATATATCAGACGTAGCTAGAATTGCACATTGAAGGACAAAAAAAACGACGACCAGAAGAGAGGAGGGAATGGGAGCCGTAAAATTTCCCTCGAAAGTTTTGGCCGCTCTCACAAAATCACCACCAAGCTGAAGCGAGTTCTCGAACTAAAATACCAAAGACCCAAGCCAACTAGTGACGAGAGTACCTAAAAAAATTCTTCGGAACGGTAGAAAGCCAACGCAAAAGACGGAGCTCAAACGAACAAACCACGGACGAATTTGCGAGCTCAGGAATTAGAGACTGGAAAATTCTTACAGAGAGAGCGCTACTGAGGTGGTGTTTAGTTCCCAAAATTTTGTAAAATTTTTCAAGATTCCCCGTCACATCGAATCTTTGGACGCATACATGAAGCATTAAATATAAATAAAAAATAAAACTAATTACACAGTTTAGACGAAATTCACGAGACGAATCTTTTAAGCCTAATTAGACTATGATTGAACACTAATTGTCAAATAACAACGAAAGTGCTACAATACTATTTTTTTTAAAAAATTCGCCAACTAAACACGGCTGGAAATTGCTCGGCACTGCAGGGAACGAAGCGCTCAGCAGCTGCACCTGCTCGGCCAGCAACTGCACTGGACCGAGCCTGCTAGCACCACTCACAGGGAGAAGAAATTAATTCCACAGCCATGAATATCATATCAAGAGAAAGATGTAATTTAATACTTCACAGATTGGTTAATCAAGCTTTAGTAATTCACGGATGCAAGAATTATGCTTTGGACCAATCAAAAGCAGCTGACTCAAAGACAAGCACAGATTCACCTTGGCTCGTGACTTGGGCTCACGACGAGCACTGCTTGGTGCTGAGCAAGCATACAGAGCTGGGGGGCGCTCCTGGCCTGCTCTCTCATGGTGACCGAGCAGGCAACTGGGCCTCACGACGAGCAGCCACCGGGCGCTGCTGCCTGCCTCCTGGGCAGATGCAGAGCGGGTCCTGGAGAGCAGGCGCTGGGCACCAGAGATCTGCGGACTGCTGGGAGTCGGTCCGGGACTGCACGGCGTCGACTCACACGACACCGGTGGCCACCGATGCGCTCGCACTGGAGCCTGACCGAGAGAAGCAGAGAGGGAGAGGAAGACCGAGCGGTCCCTGGCAGACGGAGCCTGCCTGCTGCGTGGAAGTGCCCGGGGCTTATGGGCCCAAGGACGAGCGCCGCACGACGCTGGACCTGCTGTCCGGACTTACGCACGAGCACCTCTGCTGAAGAGCTACGAACGAACACAGAAGAACACGAACAGAGAAACAGGCGCTCCCAAAAATCGTGAGAAACTCGATCAAACGTTCACGACTGGCTCCCAAACTTTACACAGATAATCACCACGGAGTGGATGAGCTATCCCGAAAGAATCGTCGCCTAATTTCTACCCAATCTCCGGAAAATCTTGATCGAGCCGAGAACACGAAAAAGTCCCGTGCTCGAGTTGATTCAATCAAATTAATCCTTGGGATAGCTTCAACTCATGTCACAGCACGGATCAACGCAAAAAGAACGAACCGATTTGGTCTAGAGTCAACGAAACAAAAAATCCTCAAAATAGCTCCGAAAATCAGACAAAAAGAAAACGACTGATTTGGAGAGGGGAACCAATGCTGCACGAAATTGATCCTGGATTAGCTCAAGAGGTCAGATTACAGTCCACTCCTAGTCTAATCAAAACTAAGATGACAAAAAGCTCAAAAACAAGAGTCACTCCTTTCTCTAGCCCTAGCCTCCTCTCAACACCACCACACAAATGAGAGTGAGCCCCAAGGATGGCTGTCCAACCAGTCCCTTCACATATATATACAGGCGGCCGTCAAAAGACAAAAACGCTTTGACATGAAGTACTCATCCCAAATACTCGCTAAGGGTAAATCCGTCCAAGTTTTTCTTCATCCGACGGCCACTGCGCCTTTCATGAGATAGCTTCGTCTCGACGCGAACTCCTCGATGCCGCCACATATCGTCCGTTCCTCCTCGGAACCTCCGCCCGGGTTTTGAGGTCTAAACCCGCGAAACCGGCCACTGATGTTTTGAGGCCCAAACCACCAAACCGTCCGCGAGTAGCGTACTCCATACGCGTCCCCCAGTCACTCGACACGTGTCACCGCCGTCCTCTACCGGTCGTCCGCCAAGTCCTCCTGAGCCCCGCTTGACTCGCACGTCCGCCGTCTTGAATCGGTCAACACGGTCACTCACATGTACACTTGCGCTTGTCAATGTCCCAGATGTCAGCCACCGCGGTTGGTCACGCGACCTCCTGGTCCCTCAGTCCAAACCTCACGTCCGTCCTTCACCACTCCTAGTCCATCGGCACGACACGTCCATACTTGGCCTTCACCTCGCCGCCGACCACCGTCTCCGAACTCCACACCACAAGCCAAGAGACATGTCATACACCCTAACTCACGCCATGGTTAGTCACAAACTCAACCTAGGTCGTGGATCACGTTGACAATCACTCATCACAAATCGAACTGCAAGGGCATATATCAACCTTGTGTTCGCACGTATAGTTTTGTGAGACGACCAACTAGCGATAGATAAATAAATATGAAATCAGCCAATGTCTCAAAAGTCAAAACCAGGTGGTATAACCGCAAGAATCACCTACAACAACTGTTTTCAGTGGAAAAATAAACTTGCATCTTATTTAGCTTTGAAACTTCTACATCCATATAGTACGTAGTCTCTTCAAACGCTGCCTCCGTTAGTTTCCGTGTTTATTTATTTTTTTTATTTTGAAAGAAGTTTGTGTGTTTATTAAGGATGGTAACGGGATGTACCTGTTGGGTATCGTCGGAACGTTCTCTTCCCTGCTACAGAGAATTCATCCCGTCCCCGTTAACTGTCTCGGGTATAGATTCTTGTCCATCCCCGTACCCGTCGGGCATCGGTCGGGTAACAGATACCCGACGGGTACTGCATACTCGATAAACAAACACACTTGGGGTCGCAGCTTTGCAATTAAAGACGTTTCTTCTTCACCCGGGTATAAGTGTCGGAGTCTCGGAGATGCCGAGGAGAAAAAGTGAGGTTGCGAGGAGGACGAGCAAATGTGGCAGAGAGACCGAACTGAAGAAGCGAGGGGCACGAGCGCTCGTGAGGTAGGCGTGCTTGTGCTGCTGGCGGAGATGGTGAGGAAAAATTGAACTAGGCTTCCTAGAATACACAAACTATATATATGATTGTTCAGATTTGGACCAAAATACCTATGTTGAGCTTCTTTGGGCCTAATACTCGCATGACAGCTCAAATAGTCGGGTTCCCCAACGGGTAAACAGGGAACGTTCCCGTACCCGCTATACCCGTCAGGGATGGATTCTTGCCATTTAGATGCCCGCGGATAAAGATATGATCCCATCCCGTCCCCTAATCGATCAAATACCCGTCGGGTATCGGGTATCGGGGCCCGTTGCCATCTTTAGTATTTATATTTACAAAAGTATGGAAACTAACTCATGGTTCCAATTTGTAGCAGATACAACTTTGACCAGAAAAAAATGGAATCCATAAAACTGAAAAATTATGCAAGGAATAGAATGTATAAATTATTACTATCATCGGACTACAAATGTAAATAAAGTTTTTATTTACTGGGCCATCAAACCGTGAGTTGTGATTAGTGTCCGTTTGAGGAAGATCTGGGAGCGCCAGCGCCAGCCCACCACACCTGGGCGCCAAATCCGCTGTGAAACCAAAGAACAGGCCCCGGATCCGGATTCCCCCTGCCTTTTCTTCTCCCCTTCACCCCGCGTGCGCCGCTGTCTCTCCCTGGGCCTCTCTCTCTCTCTCTCTCTCTCTCCTGTGGCGACGGGCCGACCGCTGCCGCCGCCCGAGGTGACCAGGTCTTCTTCGGTTCGGTACCCTCGCCAGGTCTTGATCGGGGCCTTAGCCGGCGACGAGCACACACCAGGTATGCGCACCCGTTCTCTTGCCTTTCACGCTGTGCGAAACCGAGCAACCCGAACCCTAACTTAGCTATTTGTGTTAGGACTTAACACTTAAGACCGGATCGAATTAAAAGCGTATACGTGCCTACTAACTTCAATTTTTTTGTACGGAGTATATATATGTATACAAAATGTGTAACACCGATGTCCTTTAGGGTCCGCCCAACCGGAGATAGTTTGTGGTGCATATACAAATGTCCTTTACTTCTAATGCACACGCTCTTTACATCATTTGTGTACAGGCATGCCAGACCTCGTGGATATATTTGTTGCCCAGCATGTTTTATTCCAACTAAATCACGAGGGACCAGCACATTGTTACGCTTACTGGTTATTTTTCATCATTTCATTATTATTAATTTCAGGGCCAACAGCACCCCAGCAAACAGCAAGTATGTCACACTTGGAGCACAGCAACTCTCCAGTAACCAAAGAGGTGGGGATTACAGGTGGAAACTACACCACTAAGAGAAGAAGATCAAAATCTAATTCTCGGAGGATAAGACAGCGGCAGCTTGATTTTCAAAGCATAATACCGTGCAAAGTTAATATCCAGAGTCTTCCTGAGGTATTTATACGATATCTTGGCATAAATATTCCTCTTGTATGTGCTAGATAGTAGACTAAATTTTGTTGCTGATTCAAACTGCACATTCAGGATATTGCTCTGAGGATAACATCAAAATTAACGTTGAAGGAAGCTGCTCAGATGTGCGTGCTGTCGAGCACGTGGAGACAAGCTTGTGTGTTCCATCCTAATCTCTACTTTGGTATTCAGACAGTGCTTGGAAGTCGTGCCAATACAGAATTAATTTTCACTGATCCGAGGAAAAGAATGCTGACCACTAACAAGTTCATTGAGAGGGTTGATGCCATCCTGAAAAACCATTGCACCACGCAGGTGAACAAGTTTGCCATTGAGTTTGGTTTGTCGACAGAGCATGCTAGTCATATCAACAGATGGGTTTCGTTTGCTATTGCATCAAAGGCAAGAGTTGTCGTTCTCAACCTCTCTCCTAATAAGAGCGCATTAGATCGAGACAATTATGACTTCCCTTTTCAACTTTTCGATGGACATAGTGGATCTCACCTTCAGGCTCTTCAGCTTCACTGGGTCACTTTGGGTCCACCTCCTGATTTTTGTGGCTTTGCAAATCTTAAAATGCTTGATCTTGTCTTTTTGATCGTATCGCAAGATTTACAGCACTTATTATCGAAATGCTGTGTACTTGAGTGGTTGAGAATCCGGTTGTGCTTCTTCCAGCTGCCAAGCCTGTCATCTCTGTGTGTTCAAGAGCCATTATACCGTCTGCAATATCTATGTGTTGAAGATTGTGCTTTTCGTGAAATTGAGTTTCATGCACCTAATCTCATGACATTCGAGTACAAAGGTTCCCGAACTTTGATTAATCTTAATGAATGCTTGAAGCTTAAGACAGCAACTATCAGACTCTATCTGAACGATACTCTTGAATATGTGCTGACTTGGATTCCATGTATACTTCCTCAAGTTGACACTCTGTCTGTCAAACTTAGGATCAGCAGCAAGGTCTGTTTTTGTCCTCTCTCTACCTTCTGCACTATTTTGTTTTTCCAATTTCATATCTTGTTGCCTCACTTCCACTAAACTTATTTCAGATGTCTGGATTTACACAGCCCCCTCTTAAGTTTATTCAGTTGAGGCATTTAACTATGGAAATAACCAGCTGCTGTGATCCAAATTCAGTTTTTCAACTGGCTTTTCTTTTGGAAGCAGCTCCACTTTTAGAGGATCTTCATTTCGATGTAAGTACATGTTTTGTATGCCTGCGACTTTCTGTGGTTACACATGTTTGCCATTTCATTGTTACCGAGTTAATGTCATACAGCTCTACCTTATTTATTTTACCTTACAGATGTTTTGTATGCTCCATCTGTTCTAGAAACCCATATAGAGTGATCTTTCAGACCACTTCCAACTTCTCTCTTTATCAACTATAAACTACTTGTCTGGTATGCATTCTTAGTAAGCTGAGTTATGTCAGCCACTATCTTTCTCCTTTTAGAGAACAGAATCCAAGCATAATTCATTGACAAATAGATATTGTTTAGCATTGATCGACAATATCATGGTTTCCCTATGATAATAACCATTTGATCTTTATCTTTCTATCGTTCTTGGTCATTCCCATATGAGAAGCTTTATTCTAGGTCAATTACGATGTTGACTTTGATGAGTACAATGTTCAGGATGTGATACTGTTAACAAGCTATGATTAATATTAATACTCCCTCCGTCCCCAAAAGATTGTCACTTTTGCTATGGATCTGGATAAATGTTTGTCCAGATCCTAGCGAAAACAACACTCTTTTTAGGACGGAGGGAGTACGCACTAAGTTGATAGTATGGTTGATAGTCTATTAATTGTTTGTTGACTTGTACTTATATATGCATAAAAACATCTGTTTGGACATAGTTCCAAAGTTGATTCTCCATTTGTTTTAATAATAAGTTGTGTGCAGGCTATTCTTTTCCCCTTTTTTGTTTGATGTATCATTTATCTTTTTATAAAAAAGGTAAAAAAGCAAATATTCATAGTAGTTTTTTGTCAGTAATAAAAGGTGGAAATTTTATTGCAGATGTTTGGTTTTGATTTATGCCATGGTGATCTGGACGACATAATGGATCTTCCTCATTATCATCTCAAGATAGTTTGCATAGATGGTTTTTACGGAACTGCTGGACAGGTCGGACTAGCAAAATACATCTTTAAAAATGCATTAGCCTTGGAGCATTTGATTGTGAAACCAGGTTGGAAATTAAAGTTACCTACATCTACCTCAACTGGGTATGAACGCTATGGGCGGCAGGAAGCCAATAAAAAACTTGTTCCACTAGATACCAACAGCGTACTCACAATTTTGTAACTATGATTTTTGTCGGAGAATATATATGTGGTATGAATAATTTGTGCTATAACAAAGGTTTAGTCAGCTTTAATTGTATCGGATTTTGCATGAAATGTATGTCTGCAAACTGTTTTTTTTCCTCTGAAAGAACTTGGGATCTGGTATTTGATAGCAGAATTATCTGCCTTTCTCCTCCGATTGTTTTCATTGTGTTGCTGACGTGGCATATTATGATTCGACAAACAGTTGCTGTTATTAGCCTCTCCGTAGATTTTGCAGGGTGAAGGCTTGCCTTGGTTTTTTCCTTCCCCAGACCTCACTCATGTGGGAGCCTCTGGCACCGGGTCTGCCCTTTTTTTTTAAACAGTTGCTGAGATGAAAAATACCCGAAAACCCTGGGTTGAGATGACTGAGGTTCCATAAAGTCCCTGCTTGGGCTTTTTGGCTTGTTCATGCTGGGCTGCTGCCTAGGACTGGGCATTTGGGCTGGTGGGTGCAAAAGATTTTGGCCGAGGGCATAAACGCAAGGGTTAAATACTTACACTTTTTGTTATAATATTGGTCTGTCAGGGAAATTTTGAAGCTGTTTGGAAAAGAAAAGGAAACCACGATCTAGATGCGAAAAAACAACATATGGCGTTCTTAAAGGGAACTGTGATGGGGATTTTATGTGCTGCTAGGCAGGCTACCTGTCCGTAGTTATTGCTTGTGCACATGAATTCAGAATTGTCGTCTCTGTCTGGGCGTGAGTAGGGATGAAAACGGATTGGATACGGACGGATATCACCGATATTACATTTGTTTTCATATTTCTGTCCGGATTCGAATACGGATAGTGTCAACTATGTCGGATAGGAAACGATTGGATATCGACATCATAAATATGTGATTTGAGTATTCGGATACGGATACGGTATCGGATGTTGGATATCCGGACTCGAATACGGACAGATCTCAACCCCTCTAAACGGATTCGGTTTCGAATACAGTCGAAAAATATCCGTACCGTTTTCATCCCTAGGCGTGAGTAACGCGGAGCTTAAACGGTACTCCGTACCTCTTTAAGGGTGCATTTGACATCGATAAACTTCTTTTCAGATTTTTAGTAGAACCATTGGAATGGTTGACGAAAGCTACAAAGAGAAATGCTTCAAGAAAAAATACTTGAAACTGATTCTCGTTTTTACTAGTTCAGAGAAACACCTAAAATCTGGTTTCTTCTTATTCTAGTTCTAGTTTCAAGAATCTAGTGAGCTAGTTCCACAAAATGATTCTGATTCACCAGAAAAACGTTTTTGAAGAGAATTTAGATCCAAAATATTTCTATGAGAATTTAGAAACTGAAAGTGCATTCGCCCCCTATGTGGGTTTTGGTGTATTGATGACATCCAAATTAGGGACTAATGTGATCTAAATGAGATATGTCGCAGCTATTAGTCCCATGAAAGAATCAAAGAGTTGATAAAGATGAAATGGTATCCCTCAATTCTTGAAGTTGTAAGGGCGGAAGAACTCAATTTTGATTTTGAGTTTAGAATCCGCCGCACTATAAAGAGGGATGCAAATTTAGTTGGTCTGAGGAAGATAGAGTGCTCAAGCATTTAAATAAAATCAAAAGGGAGACACTCTAGCACTTCACGAACACACAGAATATTTTTTCTGTCTGTGGACGTCGGAAGTCCCGACGTATGTCGGAACTCCCGACGGTCGGATGTCCCGAACTAAGCCGGGAGTCCTGGCACCCTTGCTTCTGACTGGCTGGCTGTCTGTGCTCGTCGGAAGTCCCGACGTTTGTCGGGAGTTTCGACACTGACTTGACCCATGCCAGGAGTCCCGGCATCAGTGTTGCTGACTGTTTGATCAACTGTGCACGTCGGAAGTCCCGACGTTTGCCGGGAGTTCCGACACTGACTTGCACCCGAGGACTTCTGACCCGTTGTGAACATTGTTTTCTGTTAATGTCGGAAGTCCCGAGATCTGCGTCGGGACTCCCGACGTTGATCTGAACGGTTCGATTTTCACTTGGAGTATAAATACTCCTCTCTTCACTTCTAACCGTTACAGACTCACTCACTGCTGACCCACTTCGCGCTCAACAGCTCCCAAGCAACTAAAGCTCACCTCTCCTTCCCCCTTAGCTCCAATCTTCGATTCCCTTAGGGTTTTAAGTGAAAGGAGAGTGGATTAAGTGAGAGCATCACTTTGGAAAGCTTGAGCACTTGATTTCTTCGTCAAACCGGTTGATTTTGCGTCTATTACTCTTGGGGCTTTGCCCCTAGCCGGCTAGGCATTGCCCAAGAGCTTCCATCTTGTGGAAGAGCCTTGGGAAGTTTGTATCACCCTTCGATTTCTTAGTGGAAAGCTCAAGTGACCTTTGTGGTCGCTTTGAGAGAGGCAAGGAGGTGGAAAAGACTCCGACCTTGGTGGTCACCTCAACAACGAGGATGTAGGAGCTTCTTTGTGGGGTTGCCGAACCTCGGGATAAATCTTTGTGTCCCGCGTGCTTGTTGTTGTTGTGATTGCTTGAGATTACTTGTATGTGTTTGTCTCTTTGTCTCCAAAATCTCCATTTTAGGGTTTGGACTCGATCTACGGTTTGGAGGCATTACGGCGTCAAGGGAGTGACCCAACATCTTCACCAAACCACTAGGAAGTGAGGTTGTAAGATTATTTATCCGCAAAGTTAAATTTGGCACTGCTTTTGTAGTTCACTTAGGCGTCGGGGCTGCTGACGTTTGCGTTGGAACTTCTGACAACGTCGGGAGTTCCGACCCAAACGTTGGGACTTCCGACAGCGGCTGACAGATTTGAACTTAGCATTTGCAGTAAATTTTTAGATACGTCTATTCACCCCCCTCTAGGCATTGTTAGATCCTTTCAATTGGTATCAGAGCAAGGTCTTCTCTTTGCGTTTCACCACATGAGAAGAAACAATGTCGGAGACCGACAAGATGCAAGCCGTTGCCGTCGAAATGGCCAAGAAAATAGCTGAAGAGTTGATGAGTGCTCAAGTCAAGCTCTTTCAAGATGAAATGAAAAAGATGCAAGATGAGATGGGCAAGTTGAAGGAAGAATTGAGCAAGAAGGTTGATGATGCAATAAGTGGCAAGAATGATATTAGTGACAAGAATGAAGCAAACAAAGATGCCGCTAGTGATATTAGAGCCAGTGAGCATGCTCATGGAAAAGGAATATATTCACACATGAGTTTTGACTATGGACAAATAATGAAAGGTTCAACACTACATACTCCGTTCGTCAATATTGGCAAGCCACCTCACTTTGATGGAACTAGATACACCGATTGGTCTTACAAGATGAAGATGCATCTAATAGCCGCAAGACTTTGGGAAGTTGTGGATGTTGGTGTGATGATTCCTACCGATGAAGATAGAGAGATAACTCCGGAAGAAGTGCACAACCTCCATCAAAATGCACAAGCCGTAGCATTGCTTGTGTCAAGCCTAGCTCCGGATGAGTTTAGAAAAGTGAATGGAATGGAAAGTGCAAAGCAAATTTGGGATACTTTGAAAGTATCATTTGAAGGAGATAAAAGTGTGAGAAAAGGCAACATAGAGTTACTTCATGGTGAATTGGAAAGATTTGTATTCTTGCAAAATGAAACAACACAATCCATGTTTGATAGGCTCATGGCATTGGTCAACCGCATAAGAGCTCTTGGTAGCAATGAATAGGATGACAACAAAGTTGCTAGAAAGATGTTGAGAACCTATAGAGCCAAGAACAACATGCTAGCGTCCGTGATCATGGAAAGGCCCAGTTATGATGAGATGACACCTCAAGAAGTTCTTTCAAAGCTCAAGCATCATGAGTGTCTAGATGAAGATGCAATCAATGCTCACAATCAAAATCCTAATGCAATGGGATTCAACAAGAGTGCCGCCCTTAAAGCAACTCAACAACATGAAGGTTCAAGTCAAGAAAAGAAGAAGAAAGTGAAGGATGATTCCTCAAGTGGAGAAGAAGATTCCGATGCAGAGGTTGCATTTGTGATTAGAAATCTTAGAAAGTTTATGAAGAAGAAAAGCAACCGCAAGACCTATGGTGATGGTAAGAGAAGGTTCAAAAAGAAATTTTGCTATGCATGTGGTCAAATCGGTCACTTCATAGCCGATTGTCCTAATGAGAAAAAGAAGCACAAGCATGACAAGGATGATGACAAGAAGAACAAAGGCAAGAAGAGAGGTGAAGCTCATCTTGGGGAAGAATGGGAGTCAAGTGATAGTAACTCAAGTGATGATGAGAAGAAGAAGAAGGGAGCCGCAAACATCGCCATCCACCACTCTTCTTCACCGACCATGATCTTCCCCGACTCAACTTCACCACCAAAACTCTTCTCCAACCTATCTTCACCACCGAGGCTCTTCTCCAACCTCATCGACAACGACTACTACACCCCAACTTGTCTCATGGCAAAAGGGGAGAAGGTACATACTACACCCGTTTCCTCTAGTGATGAGTATGATAATTGTGATGATAACATAGAAGAAATTGAAGCAACCATGATAAAGAAATTTGGTAAAAAGGCATTCACTAAAATAAAAATGCTAATGAAGAAATTAGAGAAGAGGGATAGATGCTTAGAGTTGCAAGGAGATATAATTACTCGAGAGAGAGAGAGAGACCTTGCACTTGAAGTATCTATCGCCGAGGAAAAGATGAAGGTTGAGAAGTTAACCGTTGAATTGTCTTTAGCCAATGACTCAATTGGGAAATTGACTAAGGAACATTCCTCGGTTAATGATCAAATAGCTAGCCTTAAGAATGAAAAGAGTATAGCTCAAGAAAGCCTCACAAGCTTGGAAGAAAAATATCAAAATCTTGAGCTAAACTATAGTACTCTTTGGGCTAGCACTTCAACTTCTCCTAAGGCAACCAAAGTCTCTAATGTCTCCACTAGTGATGGTTGTAAAAGATGGTATAAAATTGATGTAAATGCATATGCAACTAACCTTGTTGAGTTAGAGAAGAAAAACAAGGAGATTCATAGGTTGGAA